CACCCACCACCACCTCCTTTTACCTCCGATTTCTCGATCTACATAACGAGGAAGGATAATAGGAAGGCGGTCGTCAGAGACAAGGTTTGTTTTTTTTTTTTTTTAGAATCGGGTTGAACCGCCCAAAATTTCGAACTACCGTCTGGTTGTTCGAAATTTCTTGGCGATTGAGATAAAACGCCTAGAAATTTCGAACAACCATATGGTGATTCGAAAGAACTAGGCGTTTCAGCTCAGGTGGTTCGAAAAATCTGTGCGGTTCCCCTTTTTTTTAAAATTCGTTTTTCTAAATGATTTTTACTGTTGTTGTTGTTTATTATTATTGTTATTATTATCCTTGTAGTTATTATTTAGAGTTTATTGTTGTTGTTGTAGTTGTTGTTGTTTATTATAACGGTCTTCCTGAGAGGACCAACGTTGATTACGTAAGTTTTGTTAGTTATTTTTAGTTAATTATTTTTTTCCTATTACTACTATTAATAACATATTAATGGTTTCTGCAGTGTGTAGGGCGATCCATGGTTACAGCACAACGATCACTTAGTGAGTACCCTGCGCCATCAAGGGACGCCAAAGCAATGTTGCAGCAATGCATGCAATAAATGGACTCAGAGATTAGTTGTAATATGTATTTTAGCTATGACTTTGTTATTTTTATTAGACTATGTTTTGGATGTTGTTAATGGACATTTATGTTTAGACATTTGTTGGGAATTATCAAGTTGACATTTATGTATTAGTTTTTTATTTTCTAATTACATAGTATTTATTTAGTAAATTTTAAAACGAATTGCTTCAAAAAAAAAAAACATGTTTAATAATAAAGTTACATAAAGTTTAATAAAAATCCATAACACTACTCAACGGTACTCAAGAGCTAACTAATGTCTGCCACAATTGAAGCCTTCTCTCGTACCTTGCCTCCCATCCGACTACACTTGCCTGACGAGCGTTAAACCACAATGGTGAAATTGGAGGAAGTGGGTGGTCACGATCCATATGCAAACGAATGATATGAGATCCACCGACATTTCCAATCACAAACTCTGCAATAAGCCTGTCTAAGCGTCCACGATTATTCAACGGTAAAACAAGGGTAGATGGATAGTAGCATGATTATTTATCTCCTACTCCATAACAAATCACCGCCACATTCCATATTGTGGCAATAGCAAAAAAATCCTGCTATGCTACCATCCAATGCTCCTGTCCACACGCATCACCGTCCCATTTGATCAAGTCTACTTCCCTTTACAGGCCTGAACCAACCTCCTGACCCCATATGTCGTAGTAAATCATGTTGTAGAGCCAAGGTTGAGAACCAACCTCATTTGCGATTTGATGTTGAACCAATCGCCACTCCTTATTTCCATAACATAAGTCTGCTACGTAACGAAATCCGCAGTTTCCATCTCCAATTACATCCTTAACACCTACGACATAAGGCCAAATGATGTTGGGAATCGCGTAGTCGTATCTGCATTGTCGCATGTCGAACTCGGTACCTACAAATGAAAAAAAAATGTGATGTTTAATTAAGTTATTACACAAAATAAATTAAAATATACGATGTATAAAAACATAATTTTAATCGATAATCACCTGTACCAGATGGGGGGTGGTCTACTTATAAATCGAGTATCTCGCCCATTACGTTGAACATGCTTGAAAAAACGAAGGATCCCGCCTATTCCTGCTCTCGGGAGGTCATCCCCTTACTCAGGGGTTGACTCGAGGCTCCTATAGGTCATCGTAGTTAGGATCCATCTCCCCCTCAATCACTTGAGACACGTGCCAAAGCATCACAGGGTCGCTGGCAATAACCTGATCAACAAGGGTGCGGAAATGTGCTTGATCCTCATCATTTTCATCAACTATATCAGGAATGTCGACACCCGCTCCAATGACAAGGGTCCTCCAATATGGATGAATGTTCTTCGTATACACCCCTTTCCTGCAGCAATCGAGTCATATATTTGGCACGCACAAGGTACCCCATGGGTATTACGTAGAGCACACCCACAACGTCAATGGACATTCGTACTCAACCCTCGCATCCTGTTCATCTCACCGAGAAGAATAGACAGACAATAGTGGGATACCTTTCCGTTCAGCTGATGCAAAGGCTTCTGCTTGTAATTCTGACCAGTAGTTGTTCCACATGCCTCCAAACCATTACTAATGGCTATGATCTAGTTCTCAATCGAGCAGTGCACCTGAGCCCAAACTGTGTCTAAAGAACCTGTCGAAATGCCGAACGCTGGCTCTCACACCTGCAGTTGTTAACATTGCAGAAGTGTAGTACTTGGTTCGTCTAAAACATCACAAACTTCTCCTTGTGTATGAGCCAAGTGTCCACAACATAGTTAATCATTTTCAGCCATCGACCCCACTTGGTTTATAGTTCTACAAGGGCTTTGTTATACGCCTCCTCAGACGTAGCATCAATCACATGCCTTTACCTCCCATTTTTAAACTTGGCACCAATCTCCTTCTTTTTGTCAAACATGGAAGTAACCTTCGCTCAACATCTTTGTTAATATGCCACACACACAACATGTGCCTTGTGTTTGGAAACACGCTCTTCAACGCTGCACAAAGGCCAAGATCCCTATCTATCAATAGTACCGGCGACTCTCTATGATGACCGATCAACAACCTCAAACACTGAAGCACCCACCGATAACTTTCTTCGGACTTTGACCTCATGAATGCGTATGCAACAAGAAAGTTCTGATTAGCCGGTGTAACCCCAACAATCTCAAAGAATGGCATGTCGTACCGATTTGTCTAATAAGTGGAATCCATACCTATCACGTACGAATATGTGCGTAGCAAATTTGTCATGATCGAGTGTGCCATGAAAGCATGTTGCAACACATTGTTGGTATCAATCATAACCCTAGTGTGGTATATGCTCTGTCTGGCCAAATGGAGCACTTGGTGAACTACCTCTCTTCCCTCGAATCGCTCCATTCTAATGTTACTTCTACAGTTGTAGACATGCCTGATGTTTGGATGGTCTCCGGGAAACTTATCTACAGAGCTCTCATGATATGCCGAGGCGGCACCTGTGCCTGAGTCATGTCACGCACTACTTGCTTAGCAGCAGGACTAAGACCGCTGAGTTGTCTATGTCCCTCGAGATACACAACCAAAGATGGTTGCGAATGCCGTTCAAGCAACTGAGCTTCCAACCACTTACTACTCTGACATACTCAACCTTGGGTTTGAAGGGACAACTGTTTGTCTTGATTTTCGTGTCTTTGCATACCGCGTTCATCAGGTCTCTTATCATGCTCTTTTTTCCACGATCACAAGTCACATATCGATACGGCCTACCACTCCGATCCTTCTTGTAAGAAGACTTCACTAACATAAATCCGAGCGGCCGATGAACATTTTGTGCCCATAGAACAACATCCTCAAAACTCGGAAACATACTGTCTGTCAAAAAATGTCCGCTGTAGTCCACACCATCACCATCCTCGGACTCAGAGTCCTATATAATAATAACAATAAAAACAAATTAAATATTAATAAAAGTTGAGAACCAACAAACACAGCTAATAATAATAATAATAATAATAATAATAATAATAATAATAATAATAATAACAATAACAATAACAATAACAATAACAATAACAATAACAATAACAATAACAATAACAATAACAATAACAATAACAATAACAATAACAATAACAATAACAATAACAATAACAATAACAATAACAATAACAATAACAATAACAATAATAATAATAATAATAATAATAATAACAGCAGCAGCAACAACAACAACAACAACAACAACAACAACAACAACAACAACAACAACAACAACACACAACTAATAATAATAACAACTAATAATATTAATAATGACAATTCTAACAACACAACTAATTATAAACAATTTAATTATTTTCAACAACACCCACAACTTTTTAACTCTATAATAATTCTAATAACAATATGAATATTATAATATATTTCTAATAACAATAATAATAAGGAATGCGTGAAATCCAAAACAAAATAAAAAATTAAAAACAAAAAAAAATATCGAAACCCAGGCAAACGCTGAGGATTTTCGAAAACCCCAGGCCAGGAAGTTTCGAAAAAACTAGGCGTTGCGGCCTAGGGTTTCGAACATCCTTGGCGTTTGCTTGGGTTTCGATTAAAAAAAAATTAAATTATCACCACGCGTACGGTTCGACGAGCCTCCGGCGAGCAGTGTAGGTTGTGTTTCCTGTCTTTCATCGTTGTCCATAAGATCCAACGAATTTGATTTGCAAAATTTAAATAATTTGTTTAATTTTGAAAATTACGGTGGTTGGTGGTTGACCGAAATTTGAAAAAACTAGGCGTTTTAGCCTAGGGTTTATGAAAATCCTAGGCGTTTGCCTGGGTTTCGATTTAAGAAAAAATTTATCACCACGTACCGAGTCTGTACGGTTCGACGAGCCTTCGGCGAGCAGAATAGGTTGTGTTTCCAGTCTTTCGTCGTCGTCTATAAGATCCAACGAATTTGATGTGCAAAATTTAAATAATTTGTTTGATTTTGAAAATCACGGTGGTTGGTGGTTGACCGATGATCGTTGGTGGCCGGTGACCACTAGAGAGAACGGTTAAAGTTTTTGTGTACGGTAAAGTGTTCAGTTGAGGTAAAATTAATTATTTTTATAATAAGGATAAGTATGTAATTTTACGTTATTTTGCGGACATTAGTTGGAGATTTGAGGGCGACGTTCAGCTTATGGACGATCTTTTATACGTAGTATAATCAATCAATGGATATTTTATAAAAAAGTTAGATTTTTTTTTAAAAAAAAAAAAAATTAGAGGGCACAAACAGCACCACACTTGTTATTTCGAGTGTCTGTTTTAGTATTATGTTAGTTATCGATTGATGATTACGAGCGTAAACGGTTTATTTTGTCTTAAAAAAAAGCAAAAACATTTTTTTTTATTAGGAAGAGCATAAACAATTTTTTTAAAAAAATAAAAATATCAAAATCATCCACATAAATGCAAAGAAAAAGACGGGTCACGTCCAGTTTCAATCATAAACTGATATCCTGGATTGCTCCGTACCCGTTACCCGACCCCCTTTTTCTTTCTCATCCCCACTTTATCCTTTACGTTCCTTTCACACTACCCCTTTATCCTTCTCTCTCCTCCTTCCTCTCTTTCCCCTTTCTCTCTCCTCAACAAATTCCTCCATTTTCACTACCTTCATTTCATCTTTCCTACTATAAATGTCACTCCCTTTTCAACGGCTACATTTTCCTGCATTTCAAACCTTATAATTCAACAATGGAGAATAACACCAGTTACCCATTTGGGGAAGAGTTTCAGAAGCTGATTATTGCGCCGGAAAATGGGAATTCCTTTACTGCCCTTCTTGGGTTACCCCCTAATCAAGCTATGGAGCTTCTCACCGACGATTCTTCTGCCGATGCCGGCGGCGGAGGTGGTGGTGGGGTTGGAGGGGATGTGGTGAAACGACATCGTATTAGTGCGTTTAGTCATTCTCTCTCTTCTTTACCTGCTTTGCCGTCGAATCGAGCTCTCATTGAGCGAGCTGCGAAGTATTCTGTGTTTGCGAATGAGGATTCTTCTTCGCCGGAGTTGAAGGTGAAAACTGAGCCGTTGGATGATGCTGGGTCAAACCCTAATTCGGGTTCTGATCCGACGGCTGGGAGTGAGAGTGACAAGGAGAAGCCATTAAAGCGAAAGGAGAGAGAAAAGAAGGTTGGATTTTATTACAAATTAGGGTTTTAGATGATTGAATATGTTGTAATTTGGGTTCAATTGATTTGGGAATTTTGTATTTTAGGGTAAGGGATCGAGTAAGAAGAACAAAACGACGTCGGAAGATGATGAGAAGCTTCCGTATGTTCATGTTCGAGCACGGCGAGGTCAAGCTACTGATAGCCATAGTTTAGCTGAACGAGTAATTAACTAATTAATTAACTCTATTACTTAAGCATTTTAATTTTAATTAAGCTGTTTAACTATTGATTAGGTGTTAATCTCGTAATTATTGTTTTCTGTGATTTTTTTTGCAGGCTAGGAGAGAGAAAATCAATGCTCGGATGAAGTTGTTGCAGGAATTGGTCCCAGGGTGCAACAAGGTATGGTGTTGTAACTTTTTGTTAAAATTACATTGTTTTTTTTATTAAATTGATACTCTTTTTTGATATGTCGAGTCAATCTATCATTGTACGATTTAATTAATTAGTTTACGCTTCGATTGATGGTGATTTTGTAAAGTTGATTAAGGTATAATGATTATGATTATGATTGTGATTAGGACTAACTCGCTAAATTGCCTGCCCATTAATTAAATTAAATATATAATTATATGTTTAAGGTTTTGTTATGCTTTTTGAGATGATTGTCACCTTTTTAAAAAAGATGTGAGTTGCTTTTTGGGCAAGGAAAGCGTCTTCTTTGGTAGTGTTGTGAATTTCTTTCTTTTCCTTTCAACTTTCACTTTGCCATTTGCAGAGGTTTGTTATGTGTCTCTTTACAGGACAAGCATATCATTGTCTTTTTCACTCTTGGTAGTACTCGAATATGTTTTTCCATTTTAACTTTTTTTTCATCATATATGTAACAATTTGGTAGAGCCGTGGAGTTTTCAACAACCTCAATGCTAGTTTCAACTGGTTAGGTTACTACCTAATTATGGTATAATATCAATTGGCAATAATATGAGGCAATGGGAAAAACAAGAGAAATTAAGTGAGAACTATAATTGGATCAGGCTTTGATCTATTTTAAGAGTTGTTTTTATTTTTGTGAATTATTAATAATTCCTTAGATTTTTTTAATCGAAACGTTGGGGATTTCACGCTTGTCAATGCACATTTTATAACATTAATATCTTAAATAATATTTTAGTAAAAATTACAAAAATTTTAAAAGTATATTTCGAGACAAATCTAACAATATCCTACATGATTGTTTTTCCAAGTACAAATCACAAAAGACAATTAAAGGTGTGTGTGAATATCGTACAATTCAAAATGTTGCGATTTTAAAAGAATGAAGTACTATAAAAACACTTATCATTCTTCCAATTTTCATTAACATATATTTTTAGAGAGAATGAAAATATGACACGGCGTACTTGATTTGGATCAAAATATCAAATGAGTATTAATTTCCTGAAAAATGATTGGCTTTTTCACTCCTGACCACCATGGGCTGATCAGAATATGATCTCAAAGTTGGAGGTACCCTTTCATTCATTTGAGTGGACAGATTGTGCCTCTTTAAGAATTTATGCACTGCTTAATAATTACTCCATATGTTTTTGTGATGGTTATATGTCTTTGTCAAGGAGAGAGGGAAAAAAAGAAAGAGGAAGAGAGGAGGGGAGGGGGGGGGGGTGGGCTGTTGAGGGCTTTCTGAATTTTTTGTGTTAACATGTTAGGTGCTCCTGAAGTTAAGAGGACTATTTAGAGGACAGCTCTGTCTATAATTCTCTGCTGAATGCCCAAGTTGAATAGAACACATCTATGATGGTAGGGTTGTCCTGGTGCTATATTAAATTGAAGAAGATCAGTGGGTTCAAATTAATTTTGTCTACACCCAGTCTCGCAGAAATGGACAATAGAGCTCTTCTGTTTTCTGGGACCATTAGTGCTGATTATTTACAGACTTCCATTATTTATAGAAATAAATTTAATAATTTGTATATTAAGGTTCAAACAAGTAACAACAGTGAAAAATCTTTGGATAGGGGTGACGCTGAATTTTCTCTGATGATATGATCTAGGCATAATAAGGGTCATTGGATTGATTGTCAATGTGCTTGTCTGTGTACCACATATGTTGTTGCTTTTATACCAAGAACTGAATCACTGTGGTGGAAGTGAGGTGGCTTATTATTTTCAGTTTATAAGTTTTTAGTCATTTGAATGCTATGCAGATTTCGGGTACTGCATTGGTGTTGGATGAGATAATCAATCATGTGCAGTACTTGCAACGCCAAGTAGAGGTACTTATCTTTGACTGTAACATTTCATCTTCTTACTCTATGAGGGACTACCAAAACAAATATGTACTAGAACAAAGGAAGATCTTGCAAGATTGGTCCTCTAATCTGCCACAAAGGGTTATTAAGATCCCCTCCTCCTGTTTTATTTTCCTTCTGGAAATCTTAAATGTGCTGAATTGAAACAATTAAAGTTGATCAAGGACTTGGATTAGCATCGTCCAATCTAAATCAACCAACCATATGCCACCTAAATTTGGACCTTGAACCATCGATGCGAACCAGGAATATGTGAAGAGCAACCCTAATTAATTCTAGGAATCATCAATAGCCACAACGAATTACTTTATTGCTTTGTTTTGTTTGACCTAACATAAAAACATCTAATATTTACTGTGTTGTTGCAGTATCTGTCAATGAGGCTTGCAGCAGTTAATCCAAGAATAGATTTCAATCTTGACAGCCTAATTTCAGGAGTGAGTGACTCTCATGTTTGAAGTTCTTATCTTCCGATTAAGTTTTCGGCTGATGTCTTTTGTATGGTATTTTGGTAGGAGAAATACGATAATTTTTCTATGAAGTAAATAGTAATTGTCTATGAATTGTTTTTCTGTGTGTGTTAAGTTTGCAGTGTGTCAGAATACAAATTACTTTTGAAGTTTATAGAAAATGGTTTTGGAGAGAGATTTGACCATTGCCCCAAAGCAACGAATCAAATTCGATTGCTCGACCCTGTGTCCAAATCCCTGCCATCCATAGAATACTTGAAATCATTTATAGAATACTTGAAATACTTCCCTCTGGGATTTTATTTTAGATGAGAGGACAATTTTTCAGTACCTATTGTCTTTATATTCAAGCCCACTTATGCTTTGTGTCTTCCAACTGGAAATATAACATTAACCTTGGTTAAGCATTATGGACATTCAAAAATTGATTGAAATATCCGTTTAACAGTCGAACAGGCCCTAAAAGGTCATCGACAGTTGGACTCTTTTCTTTATTTTGTTAATCTTTTTAACAGCTCAATTAATATTCAAAACTCAGACAATGTATTAATTGTATGCTGAACTATGAAAGAATCAACAAGAATGACCTTGAAGGATTCTGTTTTCTGGTTTTTACATTGTAGTATGCGGCTTTTGGATATTGGTTCCAATGGGTGCAGGCGTACAGCATTTGGCCTGATTCTATTGTGCCATGATTTCTCATGTGCCCTTAAATATCTGCAGACTGAATCTGTGATGGACTGCAATTTACCGAACATGACCATGCCACTAATGTGGCCAGAAATTCATGTCAATGGAGACAGACAACAATTTCAACAGCAATGGCACCACCTTGAGGCTCTAAGTCAGCCAGTTTGGGTCAAGGAAGAAAATCACCCTAATTTAGTTGCATCTGAGAACTCACTCATGACCTATGACTCAACTGCAAATTCAGGTAAAGTGCTTCAGAATCGTTAAGATCATTTGCAGTTGCTGTGTTGATTCACATATGATTTTAGCTTCTGGACAATAGTAACACAAAAATAATGTCACACACTCCAGTTATGCTGTGCCTATGATAACCTATCTCCTGTATAATTCTGAGGTCTACTTAGTTTTGTGTCAAGTACATGTACTTTTAATATCCTGTTAGAGACTCACTTTGTCATAAAAAATCTTTGAAGGACACTCTTTACTGCTGAAAATAAAAGTCAAATAAATGTATGTAATAGGTAGGATCTTTCTGAAGATTTACCTATATTTCTTGTTGAACATTAGAAATTTAAAATTTTGCTATGCTCTTTTAATGGTTTTTTCTGCAAGTGATCTTTGTCTTAGACCCATATCATTTTTCTATGAATCCATTGACCCGCTGGACGGAAAACTCAGCTAGGTTTAGCAATACAGAAGGGTGTGATACATTTTATAGTCTGGATACAAAAAGGTTCCACCTGACTCGTCATTCTTTGTCTGATGCAGCATCTTTGCACTCAAGCCAGCTGAAAATGGAAATGTGAAGGCAATAACAAAGCATGTGTTTGTAGCCAATCTGTGTATATATAGCAGAAAATATGATTATATATTAGAAGTTTAGCTGGGAAGTAGAAGAGAGTTTAGGCATCAAAAATTCAGGTTGGGGTTTCCATGTCTTCATCGTTATTCAAGAATGGACTGGAAACCCTTGGAGTAGATCTATTTCACCAGTTTTTCTACCGATTTCACCATAGTCTACATATATTTATATACAACATGATGAACGATTCAGTCCTAAGTCTCATGCGAGATGGCTGATTGATTCTGCTGTCAAAGGGGCATCTAAATGCATTCAGTTGTCTGAAAGATGAACCTGGTTTGCTTCAGATAAATGGAGTTGATCATCTGAATCTAAACTGGGTTGGTTCAGATGAATGCATCTTGTGAATAAAGTCAGTTGTAATGCATCAACCTTTTTTGCAAAATTTGTGTAATCGTGAACAGGAATGAAAAACAAGGTGAAGATACAGAGTATCAATTTATTGTGTTTAGTTCATTATCCTCTGATGTATCCTATATCTGATTGTTATTTTACTTCGTACTAACTCTGTCTGGAATCAGTGCCCTGTGCTATTGCTCACATTGTCCGACTGTGATCACTAACTTAGCATAATTTTATAAGGAGATTTCAGCTGATAATCTTTCTCATGGCCAGGTGTAAGCATGACCTGAGCCGAAAGCTATTTTGTCCGTCATCTTAGGCAAATCTGAAATCATTTACGAAGTACTGTATTAATCAAGCTGACTTCATAAACGAGATACTTATATCTACAAACTTTTCTTATGATCGAGCTTTGCGCTTTTGACCTTCAAAAGTCTCTTAATGAAGGCATAACAATCAAAATTTAATAATCAAGTCTAGCATTTTATTCAATAACTCAACTAATCTATATTAAAAAGTTTTAAATAAGATAAGTCAAGTAATGTTTATTACTCTGTATATGACCTTAGAACTTCATTTATAATCAAGCTAGTACATATAAATAAACAAATAAACGAGTTGTTCATGAGCTAACATGAACGAGCTATCTCAGCCATGCTCCAGCTTGAGTTGTTTGTCTTGACTTATTTGATCATCTTAAATAACACCGTTGCAGTATTCTAAGATTTGTGTGCTGCATTAGAGGAAGCAAGCATGTATGTCTTGCATTTGGTGAGTTGTGGGATCATCTGAAGAATTCGTAATGTGTACGTCTGTCTATTTTAAGATAAGTACTTTGTATTAGATATATGATTAGATTAAATCTTGTTTTAGGATAACATATTTAGATAAACTTAGTTTTATTTTAAATTTTTAATCTTATCATATATACTAACATTAACCCTAATCAAAGCAAAATTCTTGATGAATAAAACTGTAAAAGTGATTAAAAAAAAGTTCCTAGCTATAATTCATCCTTCGTTGAGGTAACAATATAAATTTACCACACATGGCATTCAAAGTACCTCTCTTCATCCTCGTAATTCTTTGTATTACCACCAGTTTTTGTCATGCCGGAAAAACTAGCTCTTATACGCGCTCAACGGATGCCTCGGTCGACATGCCTGCCACGGCTTTCCCTTCGCCGAAAGGCTCCAATGCCCCGGAGCAAGTTCATATCACGCAGGGGGACCGAGGAGGCCGAGGTGTGATCATCTCGTGGATGACGCCTAACGAACGCCATCCTAATGTAGTTAGGTACTGGAAAGCTTATGATCCTAGTGATGTTTACACAGCACATTCTCAAATCTTCACCTATCGTTACTACAACTATAGTTCTGGTTACATTCATCATGCTACCATCAAGAAATTAGAGGTTCATATACTATTTAATTTTATTGTTAAAACTACTTTGAATAGTAATACTCTGTATTATTTGTTTTGTACATGTGAGTGAGAGCATAAACTTCATTTTTGGTGGTTCTTTTGCAGTACAATACCAAGTATTTCTATGAACTTGGGAGAGGTGACGCAATTCGTCAATTTTCATTTACTACTCCTCCAAGACCTGGACCTGATGTCCCTTACACATTTGGTATCATAGGTTAGTATCAATTTGTTCTGATTATGACATTACAACGTGAATGTCAACTAACTTAGTTTATTTGTTGAATTTCGAGCAATTGGTGTTCAATAAGTTTGTTTGTTGAATGTATAGGTGACTTGGGACAAACATATGCATCAAATTCAACCCTAGGACATTACATGGCAAATCCTAAAGGTGAAGCAGTGTTATTTGTGGGGGATCTATCCTATGCTGATAATTATCCTCTTCATGACCAAAGCAAATGGGATATTTGGGGTCGTTTTGTGGAGAAAAGTACAGCTTACCAACCTTGGATTTGGACTGCTGGAAATCATGAACTTGATTTTGCTCCTGAAATTGTAAGTCACATATTTTATTGGATTTTATTCAAACTTCTATTATACTTTTTCAGTTGTTTTTGGTTGACACGTTTTGACTTTCACATATACTATTTTGACTATCCTTTATGGTTATTCTTAAAAGATTAAAGAAACTTGTCAACTAAAAAGAAAACCGAAGAAATATTTGAATATGTGTAAATTAATATCAAATAATTGTTTTTCAGGGTGAATATCTGCCGTTTAAGCCATTTTTGCATCGTTATCATGTCCCTTACAAACAAAGTGGAAGCACATCTCCTCTTTGGTACTCTATCAAGAGAGGACCAGCTTATATCATTGTCCTTTCTTCTTACTCCGCTTTTAGTAAGTAAACATAAACCATACTTAATTCAACCACTATTATGCACAAATTGTCGCGATTAATTTTCATCACTTTCAATTCTAATTGATTGAATTTCTATGTTTAATGCAGCCAAGTATTCGCCGCAATACCAATGGTTTGAAGCAGAGCTTAAGAAAGTGGATAGGCATGAGACTCCTTGGCTAATTCTTATGATGCATGCTCCATTGTACAATTCAAATAATTACCATTACATGGAAGGAGAAAGTATGAGAGTCATATTCGAACCTTGGATTGTTCAATATAAAGTTGACCTTGTTTTAGCTGGTCATGTTCATGCATATGAGCGCTCGGTTAGTACTATTATTATTACTTACTTTGTTTCAAAGTCGTTCCATTTTGTTTGTGCATGTTTGTCAATATACTTTTGATCGCTAATATCATTAATCTTGTGTATATGCTCTAAATGTTGTTATTAGGAGCGAATATCAAATATACGCTACAACATTACAAATGGACTAAGTACTCCCATCAAAGATAAATCAGCACCTGTTTACTTGACAATCGGTGATGGTGGAAACATAGAAGGACTTGCTAACAAGTAAGATTTCCATTGTTTTCAATTACTCCTCCTATCCAGACTTAATAATCACGTTGATTATGTGGCAATTCATTCCGAATGATGGGACTATATTATAACAATCTGACACTGTTTCCATTTTGTTCTTTGATACAGTTTCACTAATCCACAACCTTTCTACTCTGCTTATCGAGAGGCAAGTTTTGGGCATGCAATTTTGGAGATTAAAAACCGAACTCATGCTTATTATACTTGGCACCGTAACCAAGATGATGAAGCGGTGGCTTCTGATTCTACATGGTTCTTCAACAGATTTTGGTACCCAAAGGATGAAAGTAACTGAGTTCAATCTTTGATTTGCTGGTTTTGGTGATATTTAGACAACCCTTATATTAGCAATATTGGTTAGGTTTTGGTTGTTTGAACTTGATTCTTTTCTTATAGTAGCATGTTAGGTTGATGATGTAATATACATTTTGGTGCAAATATGCAGTTTGACATCATTGACAACCTTATACTTCGTATGATACTCCCTCTGTCTTTAAAATTTATAATATTACCTTTTTGTTTTTTTAACACTTTATACTTAAAAAAACTTATTAGTTTAAAAATATATGTAACTCATTTTTTGTGTGTGAGAATTGTTAATATCCCGTTTTAGATATATTCATGCGCATGTATGAACTACATATTTGTTTTGCGCACAAAGGTTGCTTTTCTTGTTGGGGATGAACTACCTTGAGGGGGCGCTGGCTTGGATGCTCCCAGGCATGAAAATCTAAAAAAAAAACCCTTGACGTTACTCACATCCAAAAAATGTTCTATGTTGCTAAAGGATCAAATTTTAGCTCATCCTAATTGAATGTCCGAGCTTTGTTGATTCTCTTAAAGACTATGATCGCAGCACTTAGGCTATCTCCAAATTTGATAAGGAGTAGTTCCCAAACCCTCTCTTTGTTATTAGGTTCTAGCTCCGATACTTTCATGAAATTCCCATAAGCCTTTGTAAAATTCCCCAATTTAATTGTAGCTATCCTTCTCCTATAATGATCCTTCACGCATCTTTCATCAATTCGGCCTCAAAAGTAAGATTTTTACAGTTCGTTGCTCTATTTGTATTTGGCATAAACGTTGTCATTGTAATGTGAATAATTCCTTTAGTAGATTAAAAAATGACTTTAACTAGTCTAAGTCTATCAAAGTTCTCGTACAACTCTTGAATCTCTATAAATTTAATCCGCATTGATAGATTGAGCAAAACTCAAGATCCTTCTCTAATTTGTCCGATTGAGTCATATTATGGATATTAACAAGACTTACAGACACTAAATAACCTTACACGACATTAAGCTATGAAAGACATAATAAGTTTAATTGAACTACACACTCACACTAACCAACATAAAAGAGAAAAAGAAGCTTAAATCACTTCAAATTTACTTTCTCCGTTCTTTTTTACTTGACCCGCTTTGACTTTTACATTATTCACCACTTCTCCTTTGACCTTCTTTTGTGAATAATATGTAAGGAAAAATATATTCACGTGAGATCTTTTTAAATTTGTTTCAATAAGTACTATCACAATATATAACTTTTATAATTTTACTTATGGAGAATTGAAATTATTGATCATTAAAGTTTTACATTGACAAGCGTGACAAAAGAAACAAGTCAAGTAAAATAGAAAGGAGGAAGTATTTGATTAGGGTATCATGAGCAATGTGCATCTAGGTGTACCAACAAGTTTAAAGACAAACATTGGGATTTAATGTTGATAACACACCGTAATTGGTAATAAGTTATTTGTACAACACCATACATTAGCTTTCAACAAATTTTGGGTTACTTATTAGGAAAATGATAAACTTAGTCGTTAGGGTTATGTATAAGAAACTAAAGAAAGAAATATTATGATAGATTAACATCAATTATACCGATTTGTGCGTGATTTTGTTATGAATTCCCAACTTAATTCCATTTTAAAAAGTATATTTATTGCTTATATATAACCTAAGGGTTACATATATCATTACCCTACTTATTATTATATGTGTTTTGATTAGTAAAGTCAATTTGATATTACGAAAATACAGATTTTTGCTAAACGAGAACTAACTAATTATATGTCCCTCCCAAAAGATCGAACAGGTTTCAGGTTTCAGGTTTCAAACTCATTGGAGGTAGTATCAATCAACTTATCCTAAATCCAAGATGCTCTCCTCCATTTCCACCTTAATCCTTCTCCTTTTCTCTCTCCTACACATCATCTCTCCCACCCAATCACACCCCACCACGTCATCATCCATCCAACTCCCCTCCAACCCACCAACCATCTCCGTCACAGACTTCGGCGCCGTCGGAAACAGCCATCAATACGACACAACCCCAATCCAATCAGCAATCAACGCGTGTCCATCACCAAGACCCTGCCACGTGGTATTCCCATCACCTGGGACCTACCTAACAAAAACGATCCACCTCCGATCCGGCGTCGTTTTGATCGTTGAAAAAGGTGCGGTAATTTTAGGGGGAACGAAGTTGGAAGATTATCCAAAGGAGTTTGAGAGATGGTATGTTGTGTTGGCGGAACAGGTGGTTAATGTGGGGATTAGAGGAGGTGGGGAAATCAACGGTCAAGGATTGGAGTTTGTCAAGAGATTTGATGAGAGGAAGAATGTCATGGTCAGTTGGAATCACACGGGTGCGTGTTTAGGGGATGAGTGTAGACCGAGGTTAGTTGGGTTTATTGGGTGTACAAATGTTACTGTCTCTAATGTTAAGCTCAACGAGCCTGCCTATTGGTGGTACGTTTTTATTTTCTCTCTCCTTGCTCGTGCTAAGTTCTAACTATTGTCTGTTTCTATTCAACTTATTTTGTCAATCTTATTTTATGATTGTTTCTAAATGTATATTCTAATTCATTTTATCCGAACATATTAGGGCTTTATAGCCTAGACATTTTTACAATTTTACCTTTAAGAAAAGTTTGGTTCTTAGTAGTTCCAGCTGATGAGTTCATATATTAGATATCGAGCATTCGAGCTCAATCAATGATTACAACTACGATAAGCTGAGATAGGGTCGAATGAGTATATATCAAGTGAAATTTTCACAATTAAGAGAGTAACATGATTTTATGAAAACATGCCTACATCACTACAACTTATTAAATAATGAGAAAAACAAAAATTCATACGTAGTATTTGCAAAGGAAAAGGTGACAATATGAGAATCATAGTGTACAATTGAAAATTTGTACTCTTTGCCGTTGGATATGCTCTAAGAACATTGTTTCTAGAGTACAGAGATGTCCTGTTGCAATTATAGTGAGGAAGGAAAGATTTCAATTGGTATTCGTACAAATGAGAGTGTTTGAAGAATGCTTAGGCTTAGGAAATCTTCCTTTTGTGAAGGTATTCCTTACATTGTACTAGACTAATAGTTTGTCGACATTCTTTGTTTGTTGTTTGATTACAGTTGATTTCGACTTTTTTTTTTTTAAAAAAAAAAACAAAAAAATACTATCCTGTCCAAATTTGGCTGTTACTATAAATTACTACGGAGTAGTTTGAATTACATCAGGCGTAATATATTTATTGGGACAGTGTGGTGAGACAAGATACTTTTGCATGCTTAATAGTTTCATTACACCAATCATTCAAATGTAATGAGAATTGTGAATTGCAGCTTGCACATAGTAGATTGTGATAACACTTCCATTCATGACATGTCCATCTATGGGAACTTCAACTCGCCAAACAATGATGGGATTGACATACAAGATTCTAATAACACATTCATCACCAGATGCAACATAGACACAGGCGACGATGCTATATGCCCAAAGACGTACAATAAACCTCTTTATAACTTAACTGCTACTGATTCTTGGATCAGAACGAAATCCTCAGCCATCAAGCTCGGTAGTGCTAGTTCATTCGATTTTGTGCATTTATTGTTTGATAACATAACCATCTTTGAGTCTCATAGAGGACTTGGACTTCAAATTCGTGATGGAGGTATTTTATGAAACTCTGGCCCTTGCTAACTGTTAAAATTTTTACATTCAGCAATTCATATGTTTAAATTAGAAAGTTTTGAGTGTGTTAATTGGTCATGACACTGATAGGAGTGTGCATTTTTGTAGGGAATGTCAAAGACATTACCTTCTCCAACATAAACATCAGCACGAGGTACTACGATCCATCATGGTGGGGAAGAGCAGAGCCAATTTACATAACAACATGTCCACGAAACTCAAATACGAAAGAAGGGTCAATCTCTGACATTCAGTTCATCAACATCACATCAGTTTCTGAAAATGGAGTATTTTTATCAGGTTCTAAAGGTGGGATAATAAGGGACTTGAAGTTCAGCAATGTCGATCTCACTTACAAAAGATGGACGAGTTATGATGGTGGGTTGGTAGATTACAGGCCTGGATGTTCAGGGCTTGTTAAGCATAATATGGCAGGAATCATCATGGAATATATAGATGGTTTCGAAGTGAGAAATATGAACATGAGATGGTCAGAAGAGAAATCAGTGGGATGGGATAATCCCTTGGATTTCAGACCATCCACTGTCAATAACATCTCCTTTGTCAACTTTCAGTCTAGTCTCTATAAAAAGAATTCATTACAAGATATTTAAATTCTGAAAGTTGAGGAGAAAAGTGCAGAAAATTTGTATAAAGTTAATAATGTTGCTTATGCTTCTATTTAATTTTTACAAATAGGTTTGTACAAAGCACAAATCCTGTATACTAATGATTACAGATAAGGAGGTTTATCATGATTGTGTGAGCCCATCATAATGCATATCTTGTAATATAGTCCGTATCTTATTAGCATCAATGTTTTTTAAGCATTCCCGGTAGACTTCCATCACCATGAACATAAGAATGAGATTTTTCTTTGGAAACTTTACACGCGAGCTCATTATCATTATTTATTTTTGTCAACCCGATTGACCGCCAAAATCTCTATTATTGAATTTTTGTTTTATCTACAAAGCATAATTGTTGTGTTGTCTATCATGAACACCTTTAGATGAGATGAATATAATGCCAATCTCTAAAGTAAATTGCCAAGAATTGAGTACATGAAGATATACTTTGTATGTAATTTGCTTTGAAATTGACCGCTTCGTACAATTTAGGAATTCTATAGAATTCATGAAAGTTTTAACGGTCGGTTTTATAGCTGGTGATAAATGAAGATAATTAAATGAATTTGAGTGTTACTAGGCAAAGAAAATACGTCATAATGTCCATGGTAATTTCATCTCATCCCCAAATTTCTATTTACCCCTAATATTCTATTTCAAGTGCTAAACTAGTAATGGATGGTAATAAATTCAAAAATGACGTATTTTATGTAAATGAAGAATACCATGAACTTTGATATACCACATAGTATGATTTTTCTAACCTATTCACCCACAAGGCCACAACATCTTCTCATTACTTCATTTATAACTGCCTACTAAATAGAGGCCGTTGAGGACGTTTTGAGGACACCTTTCCCAATAAGAGAACGGGTTTTAGACCCCGTTCACTTTACCTTATTTTTGCTGAACTGAAATTATTTTTACTCAACTGAAATTATTTTTGATGAAGTGAAATTATTTTTACTGACTTTTTGTTATATTTCTTATTTAAAGTTCCTGATTATTACTGAACTGAATTTATTTTTACTAAATTGATCTTATATTTGTTGAACTGAATTATTTTTACATAATATTAATTTTTAAAAGTGAAGTGAACATGGTACTCGGGGTGATACATTGCATACACATATCACATGTAATTCCAATCAAGGATTCCAACAAAACAGGCTTACTGATGTTCTGACTCTTTTGAGAATCTCAAATGCTAATAAAATTGAGGCAAACAGCCATTGTTGCTGAACACATACTTTCTCTCTCCTCCAAAAACCCATTCACCCGCCAATTATATCACACAACATTCCCGCCAGTCCAATCAAAACTAAGAGCCCTATGCTCCAACGGTCAACTGCAGGAAGCTCTGCTAGAAATGGCGGTTCAAGGTCTAGAAATGAAGTTTGAAGGGTATGATACCATCTTAAATGAGTGTGTCAACAGGAAATCTCTTAGAGAAGGTCAAAGAGTACATACCCACATGATCAAAACTCAGTATCTTCCACCATTGTACCTCAGAACTAGGCTTGTTATCTTGTATTGTAAATGTGATTGTTTGGTTGATGCACGCTATGTGTTCGATGAAATGCCTGAACGAAATGTGGTTTCTTGGACTGCTATGATTTCAGGGTATTCACAAAAGGGGTTTTCTTCGGAGGCTTTGAATCTCTTTGTACAGATGTTAAGATCAGGTACTCTTTTTGTTTTGAAGTTTGCATTACATGTTGATTGTTCAGTAAGGCAACAAATATAAATAATCTAAAATTGTGCTTTTATACATATTTGAATGTTACATTACCTATTTTAGGGAGTTTGAATTGGAAGTTAATGAGTGGGAGCAAGACACCGGCTGTCTTCCTCCCGAATAACAATGTAGTTGCATCACTAAAGACAACTTCTTTTGAACTGAACTGAATTGACCTGACCTAACTGATCCGAAATGATCTGAACTGAAGTTTTTGGTTCAATATCGCTTTAACTTTAAGATACAGTTTAAGACCTCATTGTTTGGTTAATGTTAATACTTTGTACTTTACTGATGCTCAAAGAAGCTTTTGAGTAACGACTGTCAAATAGATGTATTCATAGAATTCCTTTTATCCTGAATGGATATTTTTTGAAGCCATGACAAGTTTGATCTTTGATAATCTGTTCCTGCCTTTTGTTTTATTTTTGCATCTTGGTAAAAAAACTTGAATATGAAATTTGTCATCAATCATGAAAGCTATATGAAAATTTGCAATGCGGCGGCTTTCTAATTATTGGATTGGCGTTTTTATTAATTTTATTTGCTTTTCTGAGAGCTGATAAGATTGGAAGCTTTTTGCAGGCACAGAACCCAATGAGTTTACTTTCGCCACTGTTCTCCCTTCTTGTACAGGTGATTATGGGTTGGATTATGGAAGACAGATCCACTCTCTTATAGTAAGGTATAATTATGATTCTCACATATTTGTTGGGAGCTCGCTTCTTGATATGTATGCCAAGGCCAGAAGAATCCATGAGGCTCGAACAGTATTTGATAGTTTAATTCAGAGGGATGTTGTCTCCTGTACTGCGATGATTGCAGGGTATGCCCAATTAGGTTTTGATGAAGAGGCGGTTGAATTGTTTCGCAAGCTACTGAAGGAAGGGATGTGTTCAAATTATGTAACTTATGCTAGTCTCCTGACTGCATTATCTGGACTTGCTGCTCTTGATCAAGGAAAGCAAGTCCATAATCATATTTTGCGACATCAGCTTCCATCTTATGTGGGTCTGCTGAATTCAATTATTGATATGTATGCCAAATGTGGGAACCTTGTTTATGCAAGAAGAGTTTTTGATAGCATGCCTGAAAGAACTGTCATCTCATGGAATGCAATGCTTGTGGGGTATTGTAAACATGGGATGGGGTCAAAGGTGATTGAACTTTTCAAAATGATGAGAGCAGAAGGCAAAGTCAGACCTGACAGAGTGACTTTCTTGGCCGTTTTATCTGGTTGCAGCCATGGTGGAATGGAAGACACTGGACTAGAAATTTTTGATGAGATGGTAGCACAGAAAGATGCGCTTGAGCCGAATATAGAACATTATGGCTGTGTTGTTGATTTACTTGGTCGTTCTGGGCGATTAGAACAGGCTTTGAAGTTTATTGACGAGATGCCTTTTAAACCAACGGCTGCCATTTGGGGATCTCTATTAGGTGCATGCAAGGTTCACTCGAATTTAGATGTTGGAGAATATGTGGGTCGTCAACTTCTAGAAATAGAGCCTGAAAATGCTGGAAATTATGTCATTTTATCTAATTTATATGCCTCTGCAGGCAGATGGGAAGAGGTAAGAAATCTGAGGGAATTAATGAAAGAAAAGGCTGTGAGTAAGGAGCCAGGAAGGAGCTGGATTGAGCTTGATCAAACTCTTCACACTTTCCATGCTAGTGATCGGTCCCATCCTAGGAAAGATGAGGTTCACACGAAAGTAAAGGAATTGGCAGTTCGATTAAAGGAAGCTGGTTATGAACCTGATCTTAGCTGTGTCTTACATGATGTTGAAGATGAGCAAAAGGAGAAGATACTTCTGGGACATAGTGAAAAGCTGGCTTTAGCCTTTGGGCTTTTAAGTACTTCTGACGGAACCCCACTCAGAGTTATAAAGAACCTCAGAATCTGTGTTGATTGCCACAATTTTGCCAAAATCATCTCAAAGCTTTATGGAAGAACAGTCTCTTTACGGGATAAAAATCGCTTCCATCATATTAAAGGTGGCGTCTGTTCTTGTGGAGATTATTGGTGATGTCCTGAAAGCGCTCTTGGTAGATCTCAGTTTATCTCCCTGCTTGATGTCGTTGAAGGGCAACATTGTGCTGAGCTTCAATATTTCATAGATTGACACAATTCTTGACAGTGACATGGGAACCAGAACAATTTTTATCAGAAAAAATTTACTGGAAACAATTAGATTAACTAGAGGAAAAATACAGGTGATTTCTTCGGTAGAGTTAAGATCATCACTCGAGTATGTAGGAAGTGTAAAAATGCTTAGGGGTTTTTGGCAACCTTTTTCAATCAAATTTTAGGCAACTTAGCTCAATCTTTTTGTAGCATACAAGATACTTGTATAAATGATGATGAGTTTAGCATTAAGCCATGTACTAATGTACTATGTATTTTACACTTGATTGAATTTGCTTGTTCCCAGTTGCAAGCTGCAATTTTTAGCCTATAACGACGTGACAATTGTTGTATTTAGACTTGTACACTATGATGGTCTCCGCCATTTCTCTCTCTCGCTTTCCTTTACCATACACAACAAATCAACTCATTGAGCATATTGCCTATAAATTATGGACAACTTTACCCCCCCCCTAGAGATCTTTCCAGGTAAAAATTAGAACTTCAAAACCTTCTAATAATCATCTTAACTCTAACATCAATATTTAATCTTTTGATCTATGGGCGAGCCATAGTTACTCAAATCGTTCGCGTCTCAAATGACATTTTGGAACTTATGAGCAACTTGCGGAATATTTTACTCTTTTTACATGCTGACTCACCTTCTTTCTCCCGTCTTCTTCAACCTGCCTTCTTCCTTTTTCCTTTCTCATTATCAATGGTGGATGAATTCTAACACTACAACAAGCACCATGCCCAACACCACCTTCTTCGGCGGCTTGATGAATTTAATGGTGTTTCGGTTGAAAACAATGGGACCTTGCCGAAGGTCCACTGAAATGGAGAAGACTGGATTCGATCCAAGCTGTGTTGGGCCGAAGGTTTCCTGCACAGTGAACACACGTAAACTAGCCTCGGGGGTGTTTCCGAGGAAGGCCCCTCCGATGCTAAAGTCAGTACAATGTGTAAAAAGGAAGACACTATGCAAGAGAGTTTGTAGCTTGAGGCTTTTGTGGAGTATTTCTCAATGCAAGAATGAGCATATGAGTTGGAATAATCCGTGTATGAGATAATGTATGTGATGATGCATGTGTTGTTGTGTCTGATAGTGTATATGATGTTGAATGTGTCAATATGAGGGCTTTTATACCTCATCATGCTTGGAGAGGTTGGGCTTTAGCCCAATTGGCTTACTTTGTGGGCTGACTTTTGACTTTTGAGCAATTGGAGAGTTGAACCTTGACCTTGGGCTTTTAATTGGATCATTTAGTGCTCCGGCCCAATTTTGACTAAATTGGACCCAAACAACTTGCCCCCCAGACCCGATTTGGAAGAATGACGGGTCGGGTTTGATTTAACTCAGAAAAGGAGGGAAGTAAATGATTTAATTGATCCAAAAATTTGAATTTAAACCGTAATTAATGAGATAACAACGGTTAATGATTTGCGGAAGTTGGACGGATAATGGGCAGTTTAATCACAAGACATGTGTTTAATGGTTACTTAGTGGGTACTTAAGAGAAATTAAAGCACAGACTCTTCGTATCCCGTACCTGGAGATATAAACAGAGGCGCGTCATTCTCCTCACTTATTCACCAACACAAACCCAGAATTCTTCGAGAGAGAAACCAAGAACCCGCATCAAAACTTCGCAAATTCCCCCGAGCATTGAGCTTAGAAACTGAGACTTGCCACTACGAACTCGTAAATCGGCAACTTTCGCTTCAGATTAAGGTAAATTCCTTTGATTTCAGTTTATTTTTCTTCGAATTCGAACTCCTTCCCCCTTTCTTTCGACTTTTCACTTCGAAATAATCCATGGCAAGAGGAGTTAGAGGTAGAGCCCGTGCTCCAAGAAGAGCAAGGCCGATTCCCGATCCTAGGAATAGGATTGGGACCTGGAATGGTCAAAGGCCGGAGTCTGTCCCTGCTGAAGGGATTAGGGCGACTCCCCTTTCCTCGGCTCCTCCTCAAAGAACGGATGAGCCGAGTGCTTCTGGACGGGACGATGAAATTCCCGCTGTCCTTTGGGATATCCTCCCTGGGTTTTCAGAGTGGGAGAATGCCGAAGTCGCTTCGGCCATGATAAAGAACCGCCCCTACTCATGGTGGGTAGAGAACGCCGATCAATATCGATTTGCTGAGCAAATTGAGTTGCACTACGGCATTTTTGAAGCTGATGGATATTGGTGCCGAATGCCCTCAGCATCCGCTAGAATCCATCGTCCACCCCCGGGGTATGTGGGGGTGTACACGAGACAGCTTCAGTATGGGCTGAGGTTCCCTTTGGACGTTTTCGTCCGAGACTTGCTGATCCATTACAACATTTCCCTATGTCAGCTAACCCCCACCAGCATCCGAAGGGTGATGACATACTTATGGGTCTGCAAGTTCTTCAGATACGTGCCGAACCTGCACTGCTTCAGAAAGCTCCATCGGCTAGTGCCAAATATTCAGAGTGGGCACGGAAGCCATGGTTCTGGGTGGTATCGGATTGAGTCCCGGCCCCAATACTTGACCATGTGGCCAAATGACTCTTCAGACAAGGACTGGAGAGGTCAATGGATTTGGGTTAGGGCACCCATAGATCCGGGCCACCCTTGCGTCTTCAGCGCTCCCCGGTACTTAGCTGAGCCTGATCCCGAAATGGGAAGTTTAGGTCCCCCCGCAGATAACGGGGCGGATCCGAACCTGGATCAGCAACATATCTTCGGCAAGCTGCCGAACCCGGGGGGAGTGGTCGAATGCAGCATATCCCGGAGACTTGGCTCCCCGATACGCATTACGTTTTCCAAGAGAATATGCTAGCAGCTGTTGGCCTCAGCCGAAAGTTTAAGGATGGTAAGCTTCTTCGGCTGGGGCCGAGGCTTTTAACTACCTCTTTTTCTTCTCTCGCTTTGCTTTTTTATGCTGTGCCAACATATCTGAGCTAAACTTTTTCCCTTTCCTTTTTTCAGAGCGGGACGAGACCAACGTTGGTATTAACTACGCTCGTCTTGGTGTTAACCGAGAGCGAGTTGTAACTGAACGGGCCCCGTCTATCACTGAGCCGAGGCATAGGGAAGTTCATCTGGACTCTTCCCACTTCCAAATTGAGGCTGTTGCTCTGTATCAGAGGCAGAAGCCTTGGTGGAAGAAGAGAGACCCTTGGTTTCAGCTGCTGAACGAGGAAGCTGAAGCTGCCCGCACAGCCGAAGAGGTTGCACGGGTACTTGAGGCTTGTGAAGGAGGAGAAGGGTCCTCCAGAGCTGCTGAAGCCGAAGCTGCAGCTAGAGCAGCTGAAGAAGACGAGGCTTTGCTGAAAACCTCGGTGAGCTTTCAGACAACTTTTTTCTTTTCTTTTTTTTTTTTTTTTTTTTTTTTTTACTCACACTCTTCTTCCCCCCTGTCTGTTACAGTCTGAAGAGAGTAACAGACACAGAGAAGGCAAAGCTCCTGTTCGTCCCGAAGATCAAATACAAGAGTCTTCAGACTCAGATATGGACGAGCAGCCCCTTCTGAAAAGGCGCCGAAGGATGGCCATCATCGGCCCTCATGATTTTCAGCAGAGGCCGATGACCATCGGCGTCGCAATAAGGGAACCTGAGGAAGGCAATGGATCGCCGAGGGTTCCCCAGCCAACACCCCAATCTCCTCAAAAGACCCCTCCGCCACCTCCTGAGATGGAGGTGGATCAGAGAACTCCCGAACCTAAGGGAGGGGTCCAAGAAGAAACCAAGGAGAGTGCTGCTGAGCACGAAAATAAAGATGCCGTGATGTCAAGTGCTGAAGGCTTCACGGCAGATATCGCCAGAGAGGTTGAGGCTTTCGTCCTCACCCCTGAAGAAGAGGAGGTCATAGTACTTGACTCCTCTGAGAAGGATGATGCTGAGACAACCAAAGCTAATCAAGCTCCATCGTCGTCCTTCCCTTCTTTCCAGACTCTGCATTCTGGAGAAATGGGTTTCTCGGCCCCCCGAATTCCAATCCCAGATCACATCTGGGACCTCATATGGGGTCAAAACCGAGAAGGAGCTGCAGCCTACTTCGGCAATTTTGCTGGCATGTCCGAAGTTGACAGGGCAAGGATCTGGTCGCTGAAGGCCACTGCTGGGATGGGCGAATCCAGTAGATCAGTTCCTGACCCAGCCAGGTCTAACCAACTGCTGATGATGCAGGTAATTTTCCTTCATTTCCTCCGAAATTCAGCTCTATATTTTTTTTCTTATTACTTATTTATTCTTTTTTTTTTTGTCTTCCTGTTTTCAGTTCGTGCACAATCAGACTCTCACTGTAGAGCTGATTGATACCCTACAAGATAGGGTAGACGCTGCTGTGCACGAAAGGAAGGTGGCTGAAGAGGAAGTTAAGCTTGCTAAGCTGAAGCAAGCAGCAGCTGAAGAGAAGCAGCAGGAGGTTGAGGAGTACGGTAAAAAAGCTGCCGAAGCTCTGAAAACCTTCTGCGATGCTATGGAGATGGAGGTTTTTCCCCCACTGATGGAAGGGGAAAAATTCCTCCAGGAGCATATGGGAGTGGACGTCTCCAAATTCAAGGCTGCTATTGAAAGCCGAATTCAAGAAGGAACTGCTGCACAAGCTGAAGTGCAGCAGCGTCTAGAGGCTCTTGAAGCCAGCCGAATGGCTGCTGAAGAGTTGCTCTTGGCCAAAGACGTCCAACTCTCAGAGGCTGCTGCTGCTGCTGAAGCTCAAAGAGCTAAATTCCAAGAGGCTGAGGATCAACTGCTGATCCAGAAAGTTGAAGTGGCCCAAGCTCAGACAAAGGCTTTCCAAATTCAGCAAGAGCTGAATGAGCTGAAGGGTTCCTCCTCCAAAGTCGCTGATGAGCTGAAGAAATCCAAGGAAGACTTGGAGGAGACCCAGAAGAAGCTGGCTGATGCTGAGGCTTTACTCAAAGTCCGTGTTTACACCCAAGAGGAATATGAGATGGGTTTCAGAAACGGATTCCGAGTATGCCGAAGAGTCTGCCTTCATGCTGAGCCGAAGCTGGACTGGTCTAAATGTGCTGAGTGGGTCCAGAATCCCGAAGACCCTCACATGAAGTATGCAACTCCAGCTGAAGCTGAAATTCTTAAGGCTGAGGAAGCCGAAGAGGAAGCTGAAAGACTGGAGTTGGAAGCTGAGCAGAGGGAAAGGGAGGCTCGGCAAAGTGCAAAGCCCGCCTCTTCGGCTGCTGGGGCTGAGGCCACCATGGGACTCAACGCTGATCAGTCTGATCCCCCGGCTGAAGCATAGGAACTCGGGCAGTCGTCTTCAGAATCTTGCGGTTCATCATGTGCTTAACTTTAGACTTGCCGCTTTCTGAGTTTTTTGCCTTGTTTTTTGCTTCAGCTT